AAGTAAGAACACAGGGGAATGCCTTCATTGTAAGTTCTGTGACAAATTAAGTTCTATAACATTGTAGGACCAGTGGTGTCACCATAGCAATGTGTGACTCAAGAAACTGAAAAGAACAAGATCATGCATAATGAATTCTATGATCCTTGGTGTACAGGGTTCTCCTCTCCCTTTACTAACAAAGACTTTAATAGGCAAGGGGCTGACCATCTCTGTGCTATTACATGTGCTGGGTATAGAAATGCTGGAAAAGTCCATTCATACTTCTTTGCATGGCCAGAAAACGATCTAGTGCTTCCCTCAAAGGTTTGAGATGAGACTAGTAGCACTTTGAGTCATTACAAGAAGTCTATGATAATCTTGAAAGACTTCTAGGATGAGTTTGCAAAATACTTGGAGACACCTGACCAAGATTTTGGTGTAACTTCTCAAAAAGAGTTTATGTTCATCAAGGATTATGCTCAACAGTCTACCATGTTTTACCATTATGTATAGTCTTTTGGCTGTAAGAGTCTGTTTCAGAGCACATGGCATAGTCTCTATCCTCGGACTTCATTAGAACAATTACCAGATATGAAATACACAGTGTAAGCATGATAATGGGGAACTGTTTTCAGGAATGATAAGGTGATCACCCCATACAAAGCAGTATATGAGTAGTCAAGTTGAAATCTTGTGTATGGTTTAATTTCCTTAAGCAGTTTCTCATAACGCATTCATCAATATATTATTCCTCCCCATTAATCCTTCAGGCTTGACCAGCCTGAAAAAAAACTGACCTGTGGAGGTGATACATAGTAAGCCAGGGTATTCAATGGTAGAGGACTCCAGCCATTCATATTTATATTACTGTAGACAAGTGTATAGAGCTAAGAGCTAAGCAAATATTCCACCACTGCATATGTAACCCACACATGTAAGGAGGCATGAAAGAGTAATGTAGTTAAACCCCATGGGGCAGCAGGTGGCTGCTTTTCCTCCAGCTGCAGTGAGGGAAGGGGTGGGGTGGTGAGTGTGGGAAGTTCCATGGTGGGAGACAGCGCATCATCATAGGAGAAATGGCTGCTGCCTGATGGGGGAGTTTTTCAGGCTGCACTCAGAATTAAAGCCATTACACCATCTGAGGACATTCACAGGCTGTGCAGAGTGAGGGCCGGTAATAGAGTCCTTTGGCGTTGGAGGGGAATTACCTCCACAGCCTTTCCTACATTTCTCGGTTCTATGAAAGGCAAACAGGGACAGAAATCACTAGAGCAATAAAAATACTCTTAATGTTTTTGAGGCACCAAGCAGGTGGAGTGAATTTTGAGCAGTTGCAGACAGCAACTGGGAGCACTTTGAAAGCAGAAGGCCAATGGGCTGTTGCAGAACCTGCAGGGAAAGTAGGCAGGCCCAAGCCAGACCCGAAGAAGTCAGCCTCCACTCCTTCAATTTCCTCCTCGCACCCTCAAATAGATTGTTCCTAGACATTTTCTCTTAAGAACTTTGTTGTTATGGACATTTTATACATATTTCTTGGTGCGTTTGTGCAAGAATTTCTATAAGACAATGTTAATTGTTTTTGAAAGTGATTGAGCCAACATAAAAGCCAGACACAATGCATGAATCATGAATTGCGGAAACAATGCAGAAGACATATGTGAGACAATTGGGGAAATTTGAATGTGGAATGAATATTGGGTGATACTATGGAATTATTGATAATTTTAAAAAAGTGAATGATATTGAAGTTATGTACAAAAACGTTCTTTCCTCATTCTTTCTTAAGAGTATTTAGAAGTGAAATGCCAAGATATTCGTGGTTCATTTTCAAATGACACAGCAGAACAGTGTATACGTGGAGAGAGAAAGAGAGAGAGAGGAAGCAAATGTGGCAAAATGATGGTGGAGCATTTATGCGTGTTTGAAATTTTTCAAAATGAAAAGTTGAGAGAAGAAAAGAAAAATGGTTGAACCAGTTTGGGTCTAGTTAAGAAAACAGAAACTACTCTAGGTATTTCAAACAGAGGGACTTTCATACAAAGAATTGATTTCAAAGGCATTGGGAGGGGTGCAAGAACACAAGGAAGAAGTGGGACTGGAGGACCAAAAAGAAGAACTGGTAATACCCAGAAATCGGAAGGTGCCGGAACCCTGGAGCTCAGCCCCCAAGCCTGTGCTGGCTTTGGTAAGATGCTATTGCAGTTGGTTCCGGATCCACTGAAGAGGCACTACCACAAACAGGGCTGAAATTGCTGAAAGAGGGGCTGCCTCTGCCCAGGCTGCGGCCGTCCAGACCACCTTCCCTCCATTGCCACTATAACTTCATTGGTAACTGTCACCAATGGTCAGAGCCAGAAGCAGAAAGCTTCCCTCTTCTTCCTGCCTTCTCATCTCCACCAGTGCCTCGAACTGGCAAAGCCTCATGGGAAGCCAGCAGGCCACGGATCCTGGGAAATACATTTTGCGGACTCCAAAGCCCAGCAGTGCAGAGCAGAGCAGAGCATGGAAAGAGGATGTGGCACTCAGAAGCATTAGATAGCAATGGACACACACACCCACCAGCAGTCAACAAGAGCTCCCTCTGCACTACATCTTTGTCAGCACTTGGTATTTTCCGACTTCTAATTTTTTTAATCTGGTGGGAGTTTTAATTTGCATTTCTAATTATCTTTCATGGCTAGCTTACCTGTTTCTTCCTTGGAGAAGCTATCTCTGACTTTGATCAGTTTCTCTTGCTATACTCTGTCACTGTACTTATCCTGCCCTGTACTCATCACAATTAATAAGAACATATTTGTTTGTGAGATTATTTGGTTAACATCAGTCTGCTCCACCACTGTGTAAATTCCACCAGGGTGGGGTGCGTCTCTTGTTTTCTGCTGTATTCTTAGTGCCCAGCACATTGCCAGGCTCGAAGTAGGCACTCAGTTTACATATTGAATGGATAGATGGAGAGGGATCAGATAGGACACCAACCCTGTGTGATAGGACAAGAGGACCTGGGTTGGACTGAGAAGGGGGACATTCCCCCAGTCACTCCTAGTTAAGGGCTACATCAATCACTGGGGGTGAGGGGGTGGTTAATGCCAGAACCCCAATGAGTTGTGCCAGTCTTTATAATTTGTTTCATGTATTTTTATAATTTGTAGTAAATATTACCTGTTAACAAATTGTATGTAATTCCTTCTGGGGGAGAGTGATTCACTCACAATCAATGAGTTATGAAATCCAGAATAAAAAGAAAGCCTCCAGACACGGTTTGGTAGACAGAGGTAGCTGAACTAATTGGAGCCACATGAATGGTGACCAACCGTTCTGGTTTGCCCAGCACTGCAGAGTTTCCCCAGACACAGGAATTTCAGTGCTAACACCATGAAACTCCTGGACAAACGCAGGGATGGATTGGTCACTCTAGCTAAATACCATTTGCAGCCACCACCCTGGGCGCCCAACTGGGAAGCCCAGAAAGCACCACCTTTTATAGAATGGGATCTAACCTCGTATGAATGTGTTAACTCACATCGAATTGATGACGGTGTTAAAGATGTAGGTTAATTTTAAGAGGCCTAAGTTCACAGTGGTATTATCAGGTCTATGTTTGTGCAGGTGTGCATTTTGGAGGGATTTTAATTTACTGTTTGCATTGTCTAATATTTATACATGATATGACCAAACCAATCAATAATTTTTCAATGGATAATATTAAATATGAAAAGGGAGACATAAAGACTCTCCTAAAGAAAGAAATGAGGCCATGAGTAAAGCACAGGAGCAATGGTAAAGATGCAGTGAGGTTTTGGTCAGTTTGTGCATGGGGACCTCGTAGTTGTATAATATGTTATGGGCACCTTATAGGTCTGTCGTTCAGGGGCCACGCCCATCTCTAACACCAGAAAAGGGAGCTATTGCTTGTGAGACACTGCACTTGTGTTCATCAACATATGCTGACATGGACCAAGAGTTCAGTAACTGTTTGAGTTTCCAGAAAGGATCTTCAAGCTACAGAGTCAACCTCATGAACGCCAACCCCACTGCACAATGAAGTGGATAAATAATGGCTGCTTTTTGGGGGGGGGGGTAAGTCCAAGGGCTTTGTGAGGCAATTTTGTGTACGTATTTTGTATATGGATTTTGCAGAACATCCAATTGACTTCGTGGATGACCATTTATTAGTGTGGTGGCAAATGCTCCAGTATTGAGAAGTCTCTCCCTCTGCGAAATTCTCTCCTCCACTGACTTCTGTTAACATCCCTTCCTCCTGGTTTTAGTTCTGCTTTTCTGGTTGCTCTTTCTTGTCCTTTGGGCTCCATTTCATCCCAAGGGACCTATGCTTGTCGTCAGGGCCACTGTGTCTCTCCTTGTCCTCTTCTCACCAAACACACTCTTCCTGAGGGGACCTCATCATAGTATCATCTCTAATAGCAAAAACATGATTTTGAAAATACTCAAGGGTTCAACAGTACAGGATTGGATAAATATGGTTATTTTTTAAGTGGAATACTATGTACCATTTGATGAAAACTGCAGTGTACATTTATTGACATAGAGAGATGTTCATGGTATTGCCTAGTTAATAAACCATGATAGAATATTGCATGTTTAATGCAATCCCATTTGTGTAAAAAATAGATAAATATACAGTGACACTTGAATGAATGCTCACCAAAAATACTAACAGTATTTATCTCTGGGTGGCGGGATTATGTGTGATTTAAGTATTATTTTTGCTTGTCAGCAATTTCTAGGTTTTCTACAAGGAATATATATTTCTAGGGTAATGAAAAAGAAATATATGTTGTATGAAAAAAATTCTCTTAGGATATGAATCTCAGTCAGCCAGTTGACTGTGAAAAACTCTGCAATAAATATTTAACCAATCACTTCAGATGCAGACTCAGCTCTGCTCGGGGAAGGAAGCCATGCTCAGTTACTTACTAGTCCCTCTTAAAGAGAAATTTTTCTTATTTTAATAGAGGCCCATTTCTTTTTTCTGTTTGTTTTTTTTGAAACTTGTGCTATAGAGCAGTAATAAATAGATTTTATTGTTGAACTGTTGTAAAGGCCAACCTCACTGCAAATTGTGGGAATGTATTCAACTCATGGGAATGCAGAAGACACCAAAGCACATAGCTTGAACGCTTGATCTGCCCCCGGACATATGTAACAGGTACCAGAGCTTAAAAATCTGCATGAGTGTTCTTGAAGCTATGCATTCAATGATGTTATTATTCAAAACCTTTTTTGGGAAGCCTTTTTTGGTCAGTGATAGTGGTTATCATTTGGTAAGTACTGACTCTATGTGACTGCTGCGTATGCATCATCTCATTCTAACCACCCTATGACACATGTGATGATCTGATTTTACAGAGAGAAGACAGTCTCAGAGAGGTCAAGCCGCTTGTTCAAGGTCAGCTGGTCAATAGCAAAGTATGTTTCAGACTGTTTTTGCCAAGCTCCAGATCCAGTGCGAAAACTTGTCCATGCTGTCTCCAGATCCACACCAACATATATCCTGTATCTTTGTAGCCAACCACGTTTTTGACGTAAAACCTCAGTGCTCAGTTTAATCATCTGTTTTATTCTCCATATTTTGCTCAGAAAGACTTCAGAGTTGAAGATTAGCCATCAGAGGTAACACTTACAAGAATGTTCCTCAGGTTCTGAAGATCTGAATCTTCAAAGAGTTGTTCCAAAAATGAAACGAACAGCAAATCATCAGAACAGCTGTTTACCATTCCAAGGATGGCTGTGAAGAACATGTATTTGAACAAGTAATTCCAAGTTCTTGTGAAAAACAATTAGCTGTTTTCTTTAAAATTGTATCACTTTGAGAGTCTGAATGGAGTTCTTTAAAAATCCACAGCTTTGGGCCAGCACTGGTGACCTAGTGGTTAAATTCAGCATGCTCTGCTTCGGCTGCCCAGGTTTGGTTCACGCAGACATACACCATTTTCTGTCAGTGGCCATGTTGTGGTGGTGGCTCACATACAAAAAAAAGGAAGATTGGCAATAGATGTTAGCTCAGGGTGAATCTTCCTCAGAAGAAAAAAAGCAGCAACAAAACAAACAAACCCATAGAGACACTGGGCTCTGTCTCTCAGCAGCTGTGTGATCTTGGGCTTGTCACTTAACCTTTTTGAATCTCAACTTCACCATCTTTGAAGTGGGTCTGATACCAATTTCGTCAAGGTGTTTTGAGGATTAATGATTGGGCACGCATTCCCTCTTACCTAGCCTATAAAGTCATTCTTCATAAAGAATGAACTCTGAGTTGCTCATAGTATAATACAGTTTTGATCTTTATAAGCTGATTAACTCACAGAGGTAGTATCTTTGAATGTAAGTTTTATACATGAAATGAGGTGCCAGGTTAACAGCCCAGGAAATCAGAAGGCTTATGTTTCTTCTGCATAACAAACTGTGAAGAAACGAATCGGGCCAGCTTTCCAGCCTCTCCACGAGTGCCGTGTGCCTATAACACACACACTGTACACACAGAATCTTCTTTGAGACACTGGGTTGCTCTCACTGAGGAATGGAACGCTAAGGATTATCCAGAAATTTTCTTGAACCTGTAGCTAAATTCTAAAATAGCCAGGTCTGTTCAGGTTAGCACTCACACAAGAATCCTGTTAAGTGCCGGACACTGAGTATTGGGGATTCAGAAATAAATAAGACCATCTCCCCACCAGGGTCCTCAGTCTTGGGGGACAAGCACAAGCAGATCACTGTACAAGTCTGTGGCAGAGTCAGGATAGAAGTTTTCCCAGAGTGTTCTGGGAGCCCAGAAGAGAGATGTTCAGCTAATTCCCATACAGAAGAGTGGGGCTGACAGATAGCAACACTATCAACAGCAATACAAACCCCAATGAAGCTCCCAAGTGGGCTTCAAGAATATAACACAGACACAGAATGGGGAGCAAAAGACTTAATTTCCCCAGAGAATTGGCCCCATTTCCCACCACCCACTTGTGTGTCACAGTGAAGGAGTTGCTTCAGTGACACAGGGCTAGGGCAGCTCTGGGAATCTTCTGAGTAGAGGAAGAGCTTCACTTCCTCTGGCCTGGCACCTGCTATGAGACAGACACTGAAGGGGAGAGTGACCTCAGTGTTGCCTGTCTTCCAGAAGCTGACAATCTAGTGGAGTGCCTGAGTTCCCTGGAGATTCCCTGACAAATTACCACAAGCTGGATGGCTTAAAAGAACAGAAATTTATTCTCTCACAGCTCTGGAGGCTAGAAGTCCAAAATCAAGGTGACAGTAGGGCCATGTTCCCTCTGAGACTTTGGCTAGGATCCTTCTTGCCCCTTCTTAGCTTCTAGTGGTGGCTGCAATCCTCGGTGTTCCTCGGCTAGCAGCTGCATGACTCCAATCTGCTTCCATCATCAATGGCGTTCTCCCCCTGGGTCTTCACACGGTCTTCCTATGAGGACAACAGGCATACTGGATCAAAGGCCCGTCCTACTCCACTGTGACCTCATCTTAACTAACTTTATCTGCAATGACCCTGTTTCCAAAGAACGTCACATTCTGAGGTGCTGGAGGTGAGGACATCAACATATCTTTTTTGGGAACACAATTCAGCCCATAACAAGGAGATAGGCGAATGCCCAAATGTGAGGGCATGTCAGCGCTCCTCCAGAGCCCTCCCTCCCCCGTCCTTCTCTGTGTCCCTTCTCCAGCTTCTGTGTGCCTGCAGGTGCTCTTCCTACATTTGTTGGGCTCCCTGTCTGGGAGTGCATATCCCCCAGTGCAGCCCTCAGCCCCTCGACCCAAGAGGAACAAACTGAGGTATAATTGAGACTCCAAAGCTCCCTGGGGATGAGACTGAGGCTGGGACTTTGCCTGAAATTACACCTTGTGTGGCTTCTTCTCCTTTCCTCTTCCATCCTCCATTCCCTTCCTTAATAAACCAATTTTACCAAATGTACCAATTGTACATCTAGGGGTCTGCCTCTGGGGAACCAAAGCTATGACAACAAATAACTGTAAGATAAGGCAGAATAGAAAAGGCCAGACAAAGTACAGAGGAGCTTTAGAGGAGGGAGGGAAAGAACAGATTTGGATGAAGGAATTGGGAGACTGGCTGGTATATGGAGTTAATAATGCCTAAATTACAGGGCTGGCATGAGGAGCAAATGAACAAAACATATGTAAAAACCTTCTTGGCATGTAGGAGGTACTCAACTAATGTTTTTCTCATTTCTCCTTTTCAAAGGGCAGATGCTTTGGCTGGGCCTGGAGAGGCACAGAGCTTGATATGTGGAGGAAGAGGGAGCATGGAGAGGATTGTGTGCTTTTCGGAAGAGAAGCAGCCTACTTTGAGGTTAGCATGGCCTCCTCCAGCCCCTCACATTCGCAACAGTCACTGAACAGTTTCCAATGATGCCTCCAAATGCACTACTCTGGTTCAAACCTGGGAAGCCAGGGATGAGAATATAGGCAGCTGGAGGTAAGGATTTTCCTCTCTTTTAGAGGGGGACAGTTCCCTAAGCCTGTACTCTTGGGATCCATCCTGCTGTGTGGTGAAAAGAACATGGATGTAGAGATGGAAAGGCTTGGGATCCTACCTCGCTCAATGATGCTGCTTCCTTCTTGGGCCTGTGTCTTGCATTGGTGAAACGAGATGGTTGGGGCTACTTGCCTTTTCTCATGTTCCAAGATCTTTCGTGAACTCTGTTCCTAGGATTGAGCTTGGCCTCAGCATGCGCAGGAAAAGTATTACACCACATGGTCTTTTTGTCTAATGGAGAGCGTTGTGCCCGCCTTTTGAAAAATTATTCTGTTTTATCAAGTTTGTCTTCCAATTCTTACTCTCTCTGCCTCCTCCCCTCTTTGGCACCTCATTGCCCTTCTCTCTAATCTCCTCCTCCAGTTGGGACTAAGAAGAATCATTTAGAATTGTTGACCAACTATTGATTACTTGTTAGGGTGAAGGAATTTAGGTTAATTTATTGCCTATTATAGATATTTGAAAGTAAAACCCTCTGACTCTCTGTCCCTCCTCTTAAAGAAATTTAAAACATCCACAAGCAGGCAGGTATGTCCTTTATTTTAATTCAGCAGATTTGCCATTTTTTTCTAAAATCACACTTGGATCATCCAGCTGTGAGTTGTTGCCCCTTCAGTGGTCTGGAGCCCAGACACCTGCTGGTGGGGGAGCAAGAGCTATAGCTCTAGGACCCGGCATCCATCTTGCTTGGACTTGGGATGGCTGGGCAGCCCTCTCTCTCTGAAGCCTCTCGTTCCTAAGTCCCTACTCTTTGAGCTCAGACTGGGAGAGCCCAGGGGGCAGTCCTCACCCTTTTTCACCATCTCTAAACTCTCTGATTCTGGGAATGCAGACAGAGCCTTTCTGGAAGCGCTCTTTCCCTCCCATGCTACTGAAGCTGGGTAAGAGCGTTCTCGATTTCTGGGGAGGCACCCATACAACCTCCTGGTCCCAAGTTTCTGCTCTCTCAAGCCCTGCGCCACTCAGGACAGCACAGAAAGGAAGCAGAGAGCAGTTGACTCTGCTGCTTAAGGACATCTCAGGTAAGAGGGAGGTCAAGGGAGGCGCAGAAAGAGCCTCAATTCTGAGACCACACTGTGCAGGAGCCGAATCCTGTAGCTCATAAGAGAAAAGCTTCTCAATATCGATGCTGCCTGTAGTTTCAATAAAGTAAGGAGATGACAATTATAAAAACGTACGCTGGGGGCTGGCCTGGTGGCGCAGCGATTAAGTGCGCACGTTCCGCTTCAGCTTCTCATGGTTCGCTGGTTCAGATCCCGGCTGTGGATATGGCACTGCTTGGCACGCCATGCTGTGGTAGGCGTCCCACACATAAAGTAGAGGAAGATGGACATGGATGTTAGCTCAGGGCCAGTCTTCCTCAGCAAAAAGAGGAGGATTGGCAGCAGTTAGCTCAGGGCTAATCTTCCTCAAAAAACAAACAAAAAAAGTACGCTGACTGGAAAAATAATCCTACTCTTTGCCACTTATGTTAGTATCAATCCAGTTACACCAAAATGCCCATACAACATAATGATACTCATGTATATTTTTAAGTGTTTTGGATTAATGTGACTTATACTTAACTCTCTTTCTATATGTACTCAGCTTTCTGTTGCTATTCAGTCTTTTTCCCTAGGTTCATTGAAGTATAATTTATACATCACAACATTCCCCCAAGAAATAGAGCATTTTCATCATCCAAAAATGTTTCCTCCTGCCCCTTTGTGATCAAGCCCCTTCCCCAATTCCCTGGCCCAGGCAACCATGATCTGCTTTCTGTCCCAATAATTTACCTTTTCTAGAATGTCATAGTATTAGGATCATACCATATTTGCTCTTTGTGTCTCACTTATTTTATTTAGTAGGAAGTTTTTGAGACCCATGCATGTTGTCTGATTTAATATTTTCTTCCTTTTTATTGCTAAGTAGCCTATTTCATGGCTACATCACAATGTATTTAATCCATCTATCAGTTGATAGATATTTGGGTTGCTTCCAGATTGGGGACCACTACGAGTAATGCAGATATATGCATTCATGTACAAGTCTTTGTATGGGCACATGTTTTCTTTTCTGTTGGGCACACCCAGGGCTGACTTCATGGGTGTGCAACATGTGCAATGGCACTCAGAAGGGCCCTCCACTTGGTTTAACGTTCTGCTTTGCTGTTGTAGGGGAGGAAGAACTAGTCCTCTACCCTCGAGGTCCTTCTGGCTGGGCTAAGAACTAAATTGACATGAGACAGAATAACAGGAGAAAATAAAAAAAACTTAACAACATGCATACATGGAGAAACCCAGGAAAGTTGAGTAACTCCCCAGAATGGCTGAAGCCACCACCTTTAATATCATCTTCAGCTAAAGACAAAGGAGGATGTTGGGGGTAGTGGTTTGGGACTTCAAAGGGGAGGAAGGTAGTTTACATGGAGATGGAAAAGCAAATGTTTGATAAACCAGTGTTTGCTGGGCTATCTATAGACAGTGGGACCCAAAAGAGATCTTTTGATAAAATGACCCTTGCTAGATGCTTTTCTGTCTATCATACCTAGAATTATCTTTAGTGATAGCTCCTTCCTGGATAGTTATAGTGATAGGCCCTTCTATCTTAAATTCTTTTTAGGCAGTTAGGGGGAAGGTCAAAGTTTCTTTCGAAGAGTCAGAGTCTTTTGTCCTTAAAAATAATTAAGCCAAGCAGACACATTTTGGGGTTGCCAATTCTCATCCCCCACACTGTCTTGAGCAGTTGTATCATTTTGCAACCCCACCAGCAATGTATGAGAATCCCAGTTGCTCTGCATCTTCATCAGTTTCTTTTGCTTTCTACCATAATTATCTCTTCAAACCTTTAAAATTAGAGGAACGATTAGTACGTTGTGAGAGTCTTATCTATGAACAACCTTTGCCCTACCTCTCTCCTTTGGACTTTGGCTTCCATAAGTTAATAAGAAGCTGGATAACTGTTGGGGATAGGAATAACAGAATTCACAGAATCATAAATTTATACAGTCATGGTTCTTTCTTTGTTCTCACGCTGACATTGTCATGCTGTCTAACATCTACAGTTGTACATTGGGAATTTAGGCATAGGAATGTTTTCCAAGCAAACAGACCAGGAGAATTAAACTGATTTTTATCTGTGACCAACAGTAACTCTGAAAAAGCTGTTAGAGTTGTCCTATAAGAATAGCATGTGTTTGCCACAAGGCTAGCTGTCTTCTAACTTAATAAATAAACAGAGTTAAAAAGATAGCCCCTTTTCAAGAACAACTTCTCCTCCAACAATGTAGCCAGCACCAGACTATGTGTACTGTGTTCTTTGTGACAGAATCATGTTCATTAGAATAAAGACTTCCCGAAATCCACATACATCACATGTAATTCTTTATTCTTATCTAAAAGTCAGCTACCCTGTTCTAGAAGAAATTAGTTTGATCTGACAGGCTGTGCTCTTCAAAAAACTACATTTGCTGTGGTCACACTGTGATTTTGTAGGTATTTCCATAAAGTAACTAAAATATAATTTATAATATGAGCCATTTTCTTCATAACAAAAGATGACTACTACATTTTCCTCGATTTCTTAAAATACCATAAAAGAAAAACTTCAGATCCTTATGTGTACTGGTAAATATAACACTCTGGCTTGCACTTTTGGGCATATTTTAAGTGCAGCAAGCTGTTGTAAAGTAATAATGAACAAACTTAAGAAATAGGTAGACCTATATAAAAGAAATGCTAAAATTCACTGAGGCAAAAAAAACAAAAAAGAAGAAGAAGAAATGGAGAGACATCACTTTCAAGGATAGGAAGACTAAAGCTGTCTCTTCCTGCAGTTTACAACAAGTTTAAAAAGATTCCAATTAGAACCCCAAAGGATTTTGGGGGCAATTGACAAACTCATTCAAAATCTATCAACAAGAATGAATAGAA